TATAGTTCGTTCACCAGGAGTTGAGACTTGGCTCCACCTCCTCGGACGCAGAGTTCATTTCAGCGCGGGGGAGTAAGAGGAAAAACATCTCCGTTGTTGAAATTGAGACAACCCTTAATTTGCGCCAAACACAGAAAGTGAATTCTTTTTCACTTACTTTGCTTTATCATCTGCTAATATACCTTTTGTTACACTAGCTAATTAAATATAGTTTAAATTTAAAAACTGTTGTTCTCCCAGCGAAATGTCTCATAAAGGACAAACTATTCACTCAAAAGAAAGAAATATCATAAAAAATGGTGCAAAATATCATCAAATTTATGAAATATTTATTGTTAAAAAAATGCACATAAAGTTTGCGAAATAATTATTTTTGCTAAACGATCGCCAAATAGCAACATTGTTCAGGATTGCTCCCAACCTTCTCCCAAAAATAGCGAAATAGTATCGTCGCATACCACGTGATGAAAGCGGAGCCAAGTGCCAACTCCTGGTGAACGAGCTATACTATGCTTTTTGCAAAATATTTTATAGAGCTTTCAGAACTTTTGCTAATTTTGGCAACATTTTAAAAGCCTCATAGCGAGAGAGCAAAGTGGCGTTGCATATGAAATTTTAAATCAATTGTGTGGGTAGTGGTGTGGAAAATAAGTTCAAATGCATAAAAAAATAATACATTAAAACATAAATTTAGATACCACTAGAATACATTTTTCCAAAAAGTGTGGAAAATTGGCAGCCCTGCATATATTAGATGGGGAAATTGAGATTTTAATTGAATGTCCACCAACGAATGTCCACCGAAGGCAGCCCTGTTGGAGCTGCCTTCGGTGGCAGGAGATGGGATTTAGACAATAATTCGAATTTTATTGTTGCTTCCGTCTTGATATATATAAGCTGTCAGTCCTAACTACTTGTAAAGCAATATAGGGCTAAATTATATTTAATTATTTAGAATGTATAGTTGCTAATGCAGAGGCGACTGTAAATGTATAAAGTGGAAAAAACTCACTTCACTTTTACTTATTTGAAGTATTCAACGTCTGTGACTTGCGTTTCAAGTCACTCATATTTAAAACAGAATTATACTTTGCATATTATATATCAATAGTGAACGGAAAATGTATGCTATAAAAAGTTTGCATATTTTAATTTCTCTTAATAAAATTTATAATCTCAGTAGGCAGCACTTTTTGTATTTTTAGTCGGCCGTGGCAAGCCTGGTAATGTGGTGTTTGACTAGAATCGAATGTTGCCCGAATCATAAAAAATAAACCTGTTAGCGCCCAGCTATATATTTAAAGGACAGCTTCTTTTCACAAAAACGTATACAGAAATGCCAAATGCTTCGAATTTGACAAAAGGTTTTAAAAATCATTATAGATATACAAACTAAAATTTGCAGGTTTTCGGTTAACTTAGCCAACTTTTTAAAAGGCTCAACACGGCTTAAATGTAACAAAGTGGTGTAACACATAAGTATTCGGATTATTTATATGAAGTAGTGAGTAAAAATCCTATAAATTGAATTAACTAAAACAAGAATCATACATTAAAAGACTACCACTCGAAAATATTCATTCGCTGTCTGGAACAAGTTGGCATTATGCATATTGGTCGGTCAATTCGTTTCCGTTTTGTCGTTTGTCTGAATTAAAAGATTCTAATCCACCGCAATTTATTAATTGTTTAGATTTCTATGTTTAGATAAAGAACAATAAAGAGCTGACACTTTTTGAAATGAAATGTGGGCTAACGATAGAAAATATCCACTTATTTTAATAACATATATTATGCCACTTTTTTCATAAAGGCACTTTTTGTATCACTTCTACATTAAAAGTCGGGATAAAATGGGTTAAGTTGAACTTTTTATCTTTTTGCGAGTGAACTCGAAACAAAACTTTGTAAACGGCCAATTAAAACAAAATATATTCTTACAAGATTAAACAAATCGTGTAGGCATTTTCTACAAAGCTAGCGTTTTCTCGAGATTATAATTGTTTGCAATATTAACGAAAAACAGAGATATTCAAGGAAGTTGGCTAAAATATTATAGTCAATGTTCCCAAACAGTAAAAATCATTAGCTGAATAATTTTAGTAAAATTATTTATGCAGGGGATGCATGATAATGATAATAGCATACCCCAACTGCAACAAGATTTTTTACTGAGGTAGCAGAGATTATGCAGCGTTATTATTTTAATTTAATAAATTGGATTTAAAAGAAATTTGATCATTGCAATCTAAAAATAGTTGGAGCACGTGCGTAAAACCACAATGCAAAAGGTGCTTTTAATATATATTAGATGTACCGTTTTTAGGTCGATTCGATATTTTCGTTACATGTTTGAATATATATGCATGCTCTTTTGCGCCATATGAACTAGTCTCTTTAATCTAAGCTAGAACTTTACCATTGACTTAAAGGTAAAGGATACTCAACCACTTTTTTTAATAAAATAATTTTTGCATTATTGTAAAATGAGAAGTGATCTTTCGCGGACAAAAGTTTCTGGTAGACTTAATAATTATTACCCCGCTTTTCTTATTAAATTTTTGGGAAAAAAAGGAAACTACAAAAATTATCCCTTTTTTTTTTAATTCCGTTACAAAGAACTTAAACAAAACTCAACATTTTCTAACGTTGGGTGACCAGAACTACAAATCTACAAAAAGATTAAAAATCACTTGAAATCTAAAACTATTTGCAGTTTTTTCTACTTCGGAAAAAAAAACTGCATTAATCGTCCAATTTTTATAATCATCATTTATAATAATCATCCTGCAAGAAGTTAAAAAGGGCCAGAATTTTATATCGAAAATGTTTTAACCCTTTCAATACGGCGAAAAATCAGCAGGGGTGAAAGCGAGACGGAAAAGAGGAAAGGCTGACAGTGAAACATTTTCAGTCACAGCTAGTTTTGGGGAGGAGTTTACTTATTCTTTTTTTAATTTTTTCAACAATATCTACTTTATCTTGGAAAAGAAGCAGTCTTATATATATGCCAGAATTATAAAAGAAATCTTGATAGTTACAGATATTTCATTTTTTTTCG